TTATAGAGACGATGTTGTTGATACTGAGCTTGGCACTATAGACTTGAACCATCCAAGTGAAATTTATTCATTTACTCACGACTACAATATTCAACTTGAGTAGCGACTGCGTCGATGCTCAGGCTTTGCATTTACCTCGTTTATTCACTGTTTGAATTGATTAGCACGATATAGGAGGTATTCTCACGTCATGTCCTCGCAAACAGCGTTTGTTTATGGTCCTCCCGGATGAAGTGTTTCGGTGACAGGTCCTGATGAGGATCTACTTGCTCGTTTGAAAGTGGAATGGGAGGATCATAAGATGACCATGGGCATGATACGGGATATACTTATGTACTATCCTCTAGGTCTATTGCTATCATACGGCAAGTGTAGGTATATGGATCGCAACTATGTGAGGCAACACCCCGAACAGTGTGTACCTGTCTATGATATGGGATTGAGGGTAATAGCAGAGTAGTTACCTTCTGGCTACTACTCTGAAAAATGTCTAGCACTGATCGGACTGTACATGTGTCTCAATAAACAATTATCCGCTCACACGAGAGCCCGCGTACTTTGAGTATTACTTGCATATAGGGTCTCAGGGCTTCCATGATGTTTTCAATTTCTCAGTTGTTCCGGGACACCGTAATAGGGCATGCACGAGTCAGGGATAGGGCGATTGGGCAGGTAGTACTACTACAGGAAAGTGAAGTAGTGTTTCACGCTGAGGGCTTAGATCCTGGCTGAGCTCCGTCGTGAACTCCACGGCGAGACGATAACAGATCCACACCTTATCAAGACGGTGTTGTCTATGCTTGTGGAGCTCTCTAGTATACAAACCCTACCCTCACAGAGAAGTGTGCCTGAAACAGGTATTGAATAATAACGCAGGCGCTGGGAATCGAACCGGGGACCTCGCCAGGTTATCGTGCTGATCAATCCTTGCAAGCCACTTCTCCTTCTATCTCTGATATGCGCCCGGTGATTTACGTCGAGGGTCCATCACCGATGCAAAGCGCGAACGACTACTATTCTTGGTTCGAGATCAACTATCTGGCCCTCATACGCGACTTCTACACGCGAGAAGTGAGTCTAAAATCTTAGCGGAGCGAAGCTGGTTTTGAATTACTTTGTTATCAGGCCAACGATTATATAGATCGGCATACAGTTGGAGAATATCTCGAGAAAGCTCACAGCCGACTGCGGCAGGAGAAGAGGCGAGTTGAGACCTATATGGACCGAAATCAGACTATGCCTAAGGTGGGTGGAAGATACCACTGGGGAGCAGCTACCATGATTATATAGTTTCATATATCGCTGAACGTAACATCTAGTCGCTGCCTAGCGATGATATATTACTAATGGCGATTCGATAATGGCGATGATATACCCAAACAGTCACTCGGTATTTCATCTCGCTGTTGTGGTGTGATAAATTCTAGTTCTATATACGGGCAATTTATACTTGAGTCACTTCCTGTTATATACAGTATCGTCTCTCAAACTGGAATGAAATATCAATATGAACACGGAATACACAGAATTATACAATCTCGCCGTTTTCCATGCTTCCTCTGGATTTCCGCAGGTTCAAGAGGTGCTCGACTCAGTATGGCTTGGCCGTCACTATAAGAGTCTCATCCAACAGGAGAGTAGTGGTTGTAAGGTTATGTTTGCCCAAGCCAGGTAGGAGTATAGCGGCTAATGCCAGTACATCACGATCGGCTCAGAGTGTCCGAACTCCGACTGATGTATTCCCTTTTCTCCCGAATACCCGACGCCCTCAGTGACATAGCGACCGTCATGCAACAGAGCATAAGCACAGCAAGTAAGGAAAGGAGACGTTCAAGAACTCCTGTACATGGTTTCGATGTAGTTGCCGATCTGATCGTTGACGAGACCACCGTGAACGCTCCGGTGTCTTTCGTGGAGAAACTACTCTCTCTTCGAGAGAGGTGCATGCCGACATATGCGTGTGAATAGACGTATTGGAAAGTCAGGTTTGAGAGGATCGTGTCTCAAGCCTTTCGGGGCTCATTGGAGTTCTCCAATCATATGAAGATGGCCTTTGAGAATTCTCTCAATAACGACCCGAAATGCGCCCATTATCTGAGCCTTTATCTGGATGAACTACTGCGGAAAAAGTAACGCCGCGTAAATGCAGCTGGAATTTTTCTGCTCACTTGTCTAACGTAAACTCACTGTTTCAGGTTGAGGGATATGACCGATGCAGATTTCCACTCTAACGTTGATCAAGTTATCAGCGTGTTTCGGTATGTCTGCATCATTGCCAGCTTCGCTCCGCTGTATGGGTGGTATCAACAGGTACCTTATTGACAAGGATGTCTTCGAGTCATATTATCGATCGAGCTTGTGCCGACGCTTACTCAACTCTAAGTGAGCTATACATGGACAGTAACTGGCAGTTGACCCGGGCATCTCTCACGCTCTCGTCAGCGAACGTGGAGGAAGCAGAGAAGTTGGTGGTGACCAAATTGAGAGCAGAGGTAGCCCGATACTGTCCCCGGTGTGTATCTGGCTTCAGTGTGGCCAACAATACACGTCGAAACTAGAAGGCATGTTGAACGACGTCAGCTTGAGCCAAGTAGGAATAATAGTGGGAGTGGCCTCTTGTGATGGTATTGGCGCTCTCCAGGACGCGAGCCGAAGCTACAGCCAGTCAATATCTGCATCGATCATAGATGGACA